CGTACGTACTACTACTACTACGTACTCGTACTACTACTACTACGTCTACTACTACTCTACTACTACTACTACTACTACTACTACTCTCTCTCTCTCTACTCTCTCTCTCTCTCTCTCTCTCTCTCTCTCTCTCTCTCTCTCTCTCTCTCTCTCTCTCTCTCTCTCTCTCTCTCTCTCTCTCTCACAACAATATGCAAGGAAAAAACCATAAAATCCAGTACCCAAATTAAGGCAGTGAGATAGGATAATCCATCCATGTGGAGCATATAGCAGACAGAGAGATAATGAACAAATTAAACACCCAAAAAATTTAATTGAATGATAAAAAATACGAAACCCTTTCAAATAAACAGTATCAACGCAAAGAAATGTTATACTAAAAAATAACCAGTACATCTATAGTCAAATGAAAGCTTAAACCTAAAACAAACAAAAAAAACGAAATAAAACCCCCCAAAAAAAAAAAAAAACAAGTTCATATTCAGCATAACAAGCACAAAAGCAAAGCAAAAATTTAACAAAAAATCTAGAAGAGGTTAAAGCTCTAATTCAGATATTAAGAGACATCCATCCAAATCCACAAAGGAATAGGAGAGACAAACTATAAAGAGAGAAATTACCTCAACCATTTCGACATTTCCAGCTTGCTCGAAGAGCTCTGCAAGCCTCGCACTATCAACACTGAAAGGGAGGTTCCCAACAAAGAGTTTCAAATCAGCAGAGAAGTTTGCCTCTTCAGAGGGTGCTTCATCTTCTTCTTGTTGAAACTCAGAGAAGACCGCAACGCTTCTAATAAACAACGGAGCCCTTTTAGAGAGAGAAAGGGATGCCCTTCCTTTTGAGTTCAGAGAGAGGGTCGGAGTGAAGAGAGAGAGAGTTAGCTTTCTGATTCCTGTTGAAATTAGGGTTTTGGGTGAGGTTTTAGAGAGAGAAAGAGAGGGGAGAATGAGTGAGGCGGCCATTGCTGATAAGGTTTCTTTTCTTGTGAGAGAAATGCATGCTATTTATAGAGAGAGAGAGAAAGAGATAAGGAAATGAGAGGGGTAGTTTGGTGAATTACTCATAAAGCATGGATATTTGTGACGTTTTATGGTTAGATATTTTGAGAGTACAAGAGATTTTAGATAGGAAGATTTCCACCGCTCATCATAGGTCTCTTGGTTTTTGGATAAAATCGACCGTTCATCCATACATCACAGAGAATGAGACTTCAGAGCGCCAAAATCCTAGAGAGAGAGAGAGTAGAAATAATGAGAGAGAGATGCAAGGAGAAATAGAGAAGCCAAGTGGGGAGGAGAGAGAGTGAGAGATGCCAACAAAAGTAGAGAGAGAATGACCCTTATTGAGAGGAAGAGAGAAGCTATTACTTACAGGGTGCGGTTTAGTTTAGTAAAGAACCCAGGTTCAAAACAGTTATCATTTGGGCATCAAAACAACTTTTTCTATTAAATTTTTTGAGGTGAGCTTTAATTTGATTGTTTAAAACCTCGACTCCGTATAAACTTTTTTCTATAAATTTATACTATTCCTAACAACCTCTTCTATTAAATTTTTTGAGGTGAGCTTTAATTTGATTGTTTAAAACCTCGACTCCGTATAAACTTTTTCCTATAAATTTACACTATTCCTAACAACCTCTTCTATTAAATTTTTTGAGGTGAGCTTTAATTTGATTGTTTAAAACCTCGACTCCGTATAAACTTTTTCCTATAAATTTACACTATTCCTAACAACCTCTTCTGTTAAATTTTTTGAGATGAGCTCTAACTGATTGTTTAAAACCTCGCCTATGATTAAACTTTTTCCTATAAGCTTATACTATTCCTATGAGTAAGTTTGGGCGTGGTTTGTACAAAGCTATGCTCAAAGGGGCTAAACAATTAAAATAAAATGTACCTTCAAATAGTATCAAAGATATTTGAGTACTGAAAATTTATGCGATAGCTTGTAAATTTATTTTTATATTTAATTATAAAATTTAAAATTTTAAAAATTGAATAAATCGAATGTATCTATAAATACTTGGAAATTTTAAAACTTAATGGTCTAAAAAATACAAACTTAAGAGTATTATTTCCAAGACTTAAAATGCAATTTTTCTTATGTTCATGCATCTTGAAGTCAAGATATTGATTTAAGTTTTTTTTTTTTTAACATTGAAGCAACCTCTTTCAGTGAATTTTTTTTAGGTGCGTCTTACTTTGATTGTTAAGGGGCTCACCCTTAGCGAGAGAGTTTGCACCGATTTCTTCGTTGTCCAAATTTTAGATTTGTTGGGGTGATGGAGGCTAAATATAAGTGCAACATTCAGGCCAGTGTGGAAAACTGTGACTCGGCCCAGGCCGAGCCAAGTAACTCAAACTCGACCTCCCACCAAGTAAAAAGCATTAATATATATATATATATATATATATATATATATATATATATATATATATATATTATTAACTAAAATTAAACTAAACAACGACCTACTTACTTTAATTTAAATA